ATTAGTGTGTGGATGATGGTAGGCAGAGTTGAATGAGCCACATGGGTAGCATGTCAAGTGGAGGCCAGGTCTGAACCCTTAGAATGCCTGATGCTGGAAAGGCAAGATTCCAAGGTATCAAAGCCCTGCCTACTGATTGACAATCGGCAGCAGTCTCATGCTAGCAATCAGAGCAGTCAGCAGGAAGAGCATGCTCCCGAGTGACTGAACTTTGCTTGAGAATGCTATAAAAGTGGCCATCACTCAGGGTTGGCGCTAGCCCTCGGGGCTTTGATCAGTGATATCTCGTGTGGCAATATGATCCTCCTCCACGGTATCATGCTATCAGGCCCTGGTCAGCATCAACAGTCCTTTCCTGGTCATCAAGTACACGCCGAGGTTGGCCCTGACAACATGTTGTTTCTTCTTTCCCAAAGGGGCCGTTGAGAAGAACAGAAGGTCTTCTGATCAAATCAGAGCAGGGTATCCATAGGGCTGAACCTTTGTACCAACCATGTCAATACATACCTCCTAGACACTGTTTGCGGCACTGGTAAGCAATGGTACTTTGTCCAAACCCCAGGCGGATTTTTGCTCTCTCGCGAACTAGGTTGATGATGACAAACCAATGTCACGAAGAGAGATGATGACATAAAAATCATGCTCAATATCATTACGCTGAGGCCCAGAGTAAAGGAGGGGGGCGATGGGGGGGCCTGTTCTACCTGGCGCCCGCTTGGGCCAGGGTGCAGGCCAAAATCCCCATGTTGTTTTTCCCCAACGGGACCCCTATTTGGACCAGGGCCATGACCTTAGGAGAGCACTGAGTGCTCCCTCAAATGGCACCTCGTGTTAAACATTGCTCTTGAGCCAGTCTCCATGTCCAAAGCCCTGCTCACGTTCCCATCATCTCTTCTGCCTTACAGTGACCGGCGATGCCGTCTTGGAGCACACATCAACACAACTTTCTTCAGGTAAGTGGAAAGATTAGCCCATAGGCTTTGATCCCTCTAGGCCCTTTTCCTTTACCTGTTCATATTTCTGAAAATCTAAGAGAAGATACTCAAATTGCAAACCCAGGAGACAGTAGTTTGGGGCTTGATACCTAGAATGTGAAAACCCTTAGGCCTCGGTGTCCAGTATGACATTCCAAATGGACAACCTTGGAAAATTCCAAAGGACATGGGCTTGAGCTACCGTTCTGAGGCCTCAGAATAGGTCACAAGAATGAGTCATAATGGTGGGTCTTCTAGGGTTCCCATGACACCAAGAGAAGAACTGGACATTTGATTCCGTGATTCTTGTTTTCATTATGGCTGATTGTAGTTAGGGGCAGAGCAGGCCTGTTTTTCTCTCCCACCTGGATCCTGACCAGCTCTCTTTACACCCGAAATAACAACACACAAATTGTCTTCATTTAAACACTGCTTGGCCTATTAGATGTAGCCTCTTACCAGCTAAATCTCACATCTTGATTAACCCATTTCTACTAATGTGTGTAGCAACACAAGGTGGTGGCTTACCGGGAAGATTCTAACCTACGTCCATCTTGGGCCAGAGCTTCATCACGTCTGCCTCACTTCCCTCCTTCCCAGCATTCTGTTCTGTCTACTCCGCCCACCTGATTTTCTGTCCTATCAAAAGGCCAAGAAAGTTTCTTTATTCATAACCAATGAAAGTGACACATAGACGGATGACCCTCCTACATGAGCTGATTATCCTGATTGGGACCGGCCGAGAAAGAAGTTCTAGTCAGCATTGGCAGTGGCTTTCAAAGTTAATACATGGCCATAATGGACTTTCAAATAGAATGTCCATTTGGCATGTCCAGGACACATTGGGAGTCCAGAGTTTTTTACTCGGCGCTAATTACTCACAGAGAAAACTAGTATATAAAATGGCAATTAGACATTCTCAACCTTACCTCTTCTACCTGGGATTTATTGAACTTGACTTACTTTTCCAGCAAGGAAAAAAGGGAGACAATTCTGGATGCTCTAACAAGACAGATGGTGTCTTTGTGGTGCTGGACTCAGAAAGGTAGCCTGAGTTTGAGAAGTTTGAGGCACACAGCAGAGGCAGTGCCTATCATGCATAGCTTCATGTATTGCCATCTTCCATGGAAGACATTGCCTTCAAAATTCTGCCTGGGACTAGGAATATCCACAGAGATGCAGAACAGAACAGACCCAGCACAATCTCTCATGGTTCAATAACAGCCATAAGAGAATGGATTCTTTCTCCATTAGTGTGTGGATGATGGTAGGCAGAGTTGAATGAGCCACATGGGTAGCATGTCAAGTGGAGGCCAGGTCTGAACCCTTAGAATGCCTGATGCTGGAAAGGCAAGATTCCAAGGTATCAAAGCCCTGCCTACTGATTGACAATCGGCAGCAGTCTCATGCTAGCAATCAGAGCAGTCAGCAGGAAGAGCATGTTCCTGAGTGACCGAACTTTGCTTGAGCATGCTATAAAAGTGGCCATCACTCAGGGTTGGCGCTAGCCCTCGGGGCTTTGATCTGTGAAATGTCGTGTGGCAACATGATCCTCCTCCACGGTATCATGCTGTCAGGCCCTGGTCAGCATCAACAGTCCTTTCCTGGTCATCAAGTGCACGCCGAGGATGGCCCTGACAACATGTTGTTTCTTCTTTCCCAAAGGGGCCATTAAGAAGAACAGAAGGACTTCTGATCAAATCAGAGCAGGGTATCCATAGGGCTGAACCTTTGTGCCAACCATGTCAATACATACCTCCTAGACACTGTTTGTGGCACTGGTAAGCAATGGTGCTTTGTCCAAACCCCAGGCGGAGCTTTGCTCTCTCGCGAACTGGGTCAATGATGACAAACCAATGTCACGAAGAGAGATGATGACATAAAAATCATGCTCAATATCATTACGCTGAGGCCCAGAGTAAAGGAGGGGGGCAATGGACCAGGGCCACGACCTTAGGAGAACACTGAGTGCTCCCTCAAATGGCACCTCGTGTCAAACTTTGCTCTTGAGCCAGTCTCCATGTCCAAAACCCTGCTCACGTTCCCATCATCTCTTCTGCCTTTCAGTGATCGGGGATCCCTTTTGGAGCACATGTCAACACAACTTTCTTAAGGTAAATGGAAAGATTAGTCCATAGGCTTTGATCCCTCTAGGCCCTGTTCCTTTACCTGTTCATTATTCTGAAACTCTATGAGAAGATACTCAATTTAGAAGCCCAGGATCCAGTAATTTTTGCTTGATTGCTAGAATGTGAAAACCCTTAGGTCTCAGTATCCAGAAAGGCATTCCAAATGGACAACCTTGGAAAATTCCAAAGGACATGGACATGAGCTACCGATCTGGGGCCTCAGAATACGTCACAAGGACAAGTCATAATAGTGGGTCTTTCTATGGTTCACATGACACCTAGAGAAGAACCGGAAATTTAAATCCATGAGTCTTGTTTTCATTATGGCTGATTGTAGTGAAGAACAGAGCAGGCCTGTTTTTCATCCAGCCGGCTCCTGCCCAGCTAGCTTTACACCCGAAATAACAACACACACATTGTCTTCATTTAAACACTACTTGGCCCATTAGATCCAGCCTCTTACCGGCTAAATCTCACATCTTGATTAAATCATTTCTATTAATGTGTCTAGCAACACGAGGTGGTGGCTTACCAAGAAGATTCTAACCTATGTCCATCTTGGGCCAGAACTTCATCGCGTCTGCCTCACTTCTCTCCATCCCAGCATTCTGTTCTGTCCACTCCGCCCTCCTGATTTTCTGTCCTATCAAAAGGCCATTAAAGTTTTTTTTTAATAACCAATGAAAGTGACACATAGACAGATGACCCTCCTACATCAGCCAATTATCCTGATTGGGACTGGCCGAGAAAGAAGTTCTCCTCAGCTTTGGCAGTGGCTTTCGACGCTAATACCTTGCCATAATGGACTTTCAGAATGAATGGCCATTTGGCATGTCTGGGACATATTTGGGGGTCCAGAGTTTTTTTCCCAGAGCTAATCCCACACAAGGAAAACTAGTATATCAAATGGCACCTAGGCATCCTCAACCTTACCTACTCTACCTGTGACTTAGTGAACTTGACCTACATCTCCATCAAGAGATAAATGGGAAACAATTCTGGATTCTCTATCAAGACAGATGGTCTCTTCATGGCGCTGGAGCCTGGAAGGCAGCCTGATTTTGAGAAGTTTATAGCACACTGCAGAGGCCATGCCTATTGTGCATAGCCCCATGCATAGCCATCTTCCCTGGAAGACATTTCCTTCAAAATTCTGTAGGACTTGGTATATCCCCAGAGACACAGAGCCTGTCAGACCTAACTCTGCCTCTCAGTGATCAATAACAACTCTCAGGTATGTCCCGTTTTTCAAGAGCTGGCATTTGTTGTTTAGGCAGCTGGGATGAAGCAACAAATGGATTAAAGGATATTTAGAAAGGATAGTACATACCGTCTGAAAAGTTGTGTTGAGAGATCAGGGAACGATTTTTCTAGCGTTCAATTGATGTAATGGCGATGGATGTGGGCATTGAATCATTTTAACAGAGAGAGATATATGGGTCTGCATGGAGCCTACCTCTTGTGTGACTTACTACTGTTGCACAAGTCTCCAATAGCCTAACAACAAAGATCAGTTCCTGTCTTCTCTTTTTTCTCTCAGTGATCTGAGCTCCCTCTTGGACCCCACCACATAATACCTTTCAGGTAACTGGAAGATAAGACCTATGGTTTGTATTCAGAAAGGCCCAAGATGCTCCTCCATCTTTTAGAATCTCTCTCTCGTTCTCCTGACATTCAAATCATACCACTCATACTAGCTGTGCTTTCTACACATACTCTGCCACTTGTGCCTGTGTATCAATAATTAGTGATCCAAATTATTTTGCTTGGGTAAATTCCAAGAGACATGGACATAAGCATCTGATCAGGTACAAAAGGGGATTATGCATAGCTCTAATCAGGAGTTTCCAGGTTGGCAGTCTTGGAGCATACCGAGGATACCAATATCACTTCTGAAGCCAGTTGGCTATATGGCTAACTAAAAAGTTCTGGTGTTGGACTGTTGTTCTGGGTATCCTTGACTGTGAGTCCTTCCCTTGTGACTTAGTGATCCCACTATAAACCTTCAGGTAGCCCACTTTGGCAGAAGAATACATCCTCGCTTTTGAGGTAATATGCACAGTAATTTTGTCTAGTGACCCAAAATTTGCATCACTCTTCTTACTGAGAACCAAGCTGCTGACACTTTCATCCAGTAAATATATAACCAATAGGAACAATGGAAATATGGAATCAAAAACAGGGCAAGCAACTGGGATATACACTGACAGTTATACTAGCATTTCAAAAATAATATTGTCCTCCTGTTAGGTAAATATAATAGGAGATATTTCTACATCTGCTACTACTAGTGTTGAGTATTTTTTAAGGAGATGTCTTTTATTTTGTATTATCTTAGAGATCTAAGACTGGATAATTCATTTCAGAAAATACAGGTAAGTAACTATAATCTTAGAGACTCTATGTATTGTTCTGTATGCAACTTTCTGAGGTCTATGTATCTTTCGGAGTCTTACTGGAGGTTACTGTTGTGATATTTTTAAAATTTTATCCAAAGATTAATTACTGAGTATTTGTTGTTTCTTTTCTCTCCTTTTAACTATTTTCTATATTATGTAAAATATATAAAATGAAGGATTATTTTAGAAATTTATATTGGCTAATAATCAATATGATCAATTTCTTACAAAACAATATCACACTGTAATTTTTTTATTATTTACTAGAGTTTCAGAATAGAGACCATTACTTATAAGGAGTCTGTGTTCATACTATAATATTCTTCACTTCTAGTTTATTCAGTGAAGGCTGACATGAGTTCACTATTCTTTTTCAAATATGGAAATATATGTCTTATTTTTATAGCTTCTCTATGGCTTACAAGTCATAGATATAAGATATTTGCATGGATTCTGGAATTTTAAAGAACATCTTTTCTCTATTAGTTAATTGCTGCTTGGATGGTAAATTTACTGAGCTGTAGAAATTCAGTATATGTCCCTTTATACAAGAATTTCATATTTCAATAGAAAGCAAAATATACCAACAATACAGTGCATATTGGTTAAGGTATTTCTTGAGAATGTTGTCTTATACATGGTATTTTACTTGGTGCATAATGACTAATGTGCTCAAAACTGGACAAATATTCATAAGGAAATCAATGATTTAATATATAATACTTTGGTAGTGCAATAATTTGAATAGGAATAGCCCCATAAACACATGTGTTTGAATGCTTGGCCACTGTGGAGTGGCACTATTAGGAAATATGAGCTTGTTGAAGTATGCGTGCCCTTGTTGGAAGAAATGTGTCACTGAGGAGTGACACACTTCAGGGTCTCAGATGCCCAAGCTAGGCCTAGTGTGGCATTGCAAGGAGCTGCTTGTTCATCCCGGCTGCCCAGAACTGAAATAATCACATAGAAACTGTATTAATTAATTATCGTGAACAGTTTGATATCGATTGTGTTCAAGTATTTGAGTGAATACTTGATTTAAAAAACATATAAATACAAATATAATTGATTAAAGAAATATAAATAAATACCTTTAGTATAGAAATAAAACGTGACCAAATTCTTATAAAGTAATGTTGCGAAAGTTCTATGGGAATATAGACACAAATAATATCTAAAGACAATCAGTTAAGATCATTATAACTGCTATTATTTTTGAAATGTATTTGTTTGTTTTTTTTTTTCTTTTGCCATTTATTTCCTTGTTGGGTAGAATAGCAGTGGTAACATCATGTTCAGGAATAGAAATCAGCAGATTCTTATGTCATTACAAGTGATAATATATTCATGGAATTAGTGGATACATTTAAAATGAGTACAATTCATATAAAACATGTTGATTTAATTCCACAGTGGATTGAAATTAAAAATAGGGAAATATTTATTGATAATCTCCAAAATATTTGAAAAATAAAATGAGAACTTATAAGTAGTTCACTGATAAAAGAAGACATAAAAAGAGAAACTGACAAGCATTTCAAACTAAATACATATAAAAATTAATATCTTCAAATTCAAATGTAGCTAAACTGGCTTGGAAGATATTTTTTAGAACTGATTCTTAGATTACAAGTAAATAGAAGCCTTAAATAAATGATATAATATTCCAATGAATGGCTTTATAGTCTAGTAAAAGAAACTTAAGAACAAAATGACACAGAATAAGAGAAACAGGACATTCATAAAAGAACAGAAAGCAATCAAATATATTTGTGTATATATGTACATATACACATATGTAAATATCTGCCTCGTGTGTGTGTGTGTGTGTGTGTGTGTGTGTGTGTGGCGAGAGAAAATGAAAGTCAGTTAAATTAAAACACTAAAACACACCAATTAAAGAAGGCATGAAAGAATGAAGGACAACCTAGCCACTAGTGTAAAGGTTAATAACAGAACTGTCATTCATATCTTCTGAGAGAGGAAATATCAGCTTTCTCCAATGAAAGGGCACTGGGGATATAAATTAGCCAATGGCAGAGCTTCTGTTTAGGGATAGCTAGTCAAAATAGAATAGACTCCACATTTGGGGTTTTGGTTTTGGTTTTTTTCTGGTGTTGTTGTTGTTTGTGTGCTTTTCTTTGATCACAGTATTATTTTTTTTCTTTTTGAGTGTTATTTCATTTTGTTTTCTTTGTTTGGGGGGTTATTGTATTAATTTTTAGTTTTTTTTAAACAAAGTTGTGTGTATAGGGATGAGGAGATTATTTGAATGAACATACACAATTTTTAAAAAATCCATTAAGAGGATAATGTTCAGAAACATCTAAAGAGAATAATTTTTCAA